CTTTTTTTTCCTTATTTTGAAATCAATATATTATCTTTTAACGGTGGGAGTTTTTCTTTTTTTGCACTTTTTAAATTTTTGAATGGAAGGCGTCACAAGTTAGCGTCCCGCTTGGTATTTTTCAAGCACTGTTGGCTGAATCTGAATGAAGACCGATTGAACGAATAAGCGTTTGGTGACGATGATTTGTCAGTGCCGCTCATTATTCCCGTGTGTAGTATCATTCTTCGATACTCATTTTGAAAATTATTTTATCGCGTTGAACTATTATTTTTTTCCTGCTGTCTTTTCCAAATTGATTTATTTTTGTTTATCTTTTTTTTCGAAAATTAAATTATGATAGTTATAAGAATTTGTAATTTTCTAATGTGTAGGTATTGAGGAATATTGTAGAGAAAAAAGAATTATGCTTGTAAAATTAGTTCTGTTGATTTTTTTCTATGAACGTTCAAAATTTTACAATTTGCACTTCCATTTAGGTTTTTCCCAAACGAATTTACTGTTCAGATTTCGGTATTACCAAGCTATTCAAGCAATTTTTTGCTTCTGTTTTGCTGAGAAATGAAGAGGGAAGGAGGGAGGAGGTGGCTGTTCAGTCGCTTCCGGTTGGAATTAAGTAGTTTCAGTAGTATTGCTCATCTGTAAGAAGTACTTTTGCTATAATAAGGTTTGCTTTGGCAGCGTGGTAATGTAAATATTTTGGATTGAGAGGCGATACACAATTATTAAAATCGTATTTCTCCATACACCGTATACCTTAGCCGACTGGGGGAGTTCTCTCATGAACGTAATAAGGTGACTCAAATTCTTTGATTTGGTATTCGTCTTTTCATACATTGGCGTTTGCGTTGGACGGCCTCTACCATTAGATATTGAAAAAGCGCACTTTTTTCCATTTTGTTGTTGAGACTAAATGTTTATTAGAAGACTACCCTAATGGTTGCGAAGTGATAAAGGACGTTACAGGTGATGTATTGGAGACCTTTATGTATAGATTTGTCAACTACTACAAAAATCATTGCGCTTTTGTTTCTCCCCGTTGTTCTCTTTTTTCCACTTCACCTTGTCCTCCATTCTCCGCGCCCCTTCCCCTTGTTTTGCTACGTTCCTCTTCTTTTATGTCCCTCGCTTAGTTTGGATTTCTTTTTTGGTTGGTAGGGGAGGAAGGTGAGTTAGAGAAGGAACCTTATGTTCCAAAAGTAGAAATATAAATGACAGTTCAATCGTTTTAAAAGTGTTTATGTTATTTGCCCAGATGTCACCGTTAACCCAGAAAAGATTAAAAAAAAAACCTTACACTTGCAAAATGTGATGGTTGACTGCTATTGTAGATTGAAAATGACGCATATACGAGTCATGCCGTTTGTCCACGAAGTATTACAACCAATCAATGGCAAAAGGATGTCCCAAGATGTGCTGGATCTAGAGGTGAGAGTCTCGTTAATTAGACACTACTTTCTATTGCTAATTTAATCAGGAATTTTTCCTTCTAAGTCATTTTTTTAAAGCTTTTAATTAATTGTTTATTTTTATAATTTTTGACTCCAGTCCGGTCTTTTTTATTTTTAGGGGTGATAGGAAGAAGCGAATATAAGTTTTTTTCCAACCTTTACGTCTTTTAATCTATTTCTTTCATTTTAAGACTTTTGAGAAGATATTTTTTGAGTTTAATTTATAGGAGACACACGGCAAAGTAATCACTGCTTGTTAGCTTGATTAATCTTTGTAAATTTCTGTTTCTTTATGACATTGTGAACAGAAATTTTTCAAATTGAGTTTAAATTCAGTAGTCAGTATTTAAGCTCGAAATTGTCTGTTAGCGTTTAATCGTTTCTTTGTCACTTTCGAATGGTCAATGAAGTAAAATTGTTTTAGTTTGCTGAGAATTTTGCTGGTTTACGCTAGTCTCTTTAAATACGTCGCAGTGCTTGGTGGGATGCTAAAGTTCACAATTTCAAATAATGTATTTGTTTTGGGGATAACTGTTGTCACTAATGATTCGAAAATCCTTGTTGTTTTCGTTGTTTCAGAATTGTAAGTTAATTTTTTCATTTTTTAATGTGCCATTTTCCACTGGCGGGAAGGAGATAAAAATTCTTTAAGTCGAATTTGTTTTGAACTGTACAGTATTGTAGCAGCAGCACGTTTGCACTGTATTTACAGATTTTGTCGGCTATCACTTAGAACTAATTGCTTGGTTGCTGATTAGTAGTTTTGGTGTTTGAAGAACTGAACTTTCAACTTAATAGTGCTGTTGTTGCTCTGCTGCGCCTAGCAATGCACTCAAAATTAATTAAGTGGTTGGGTTTCTGTTTTCTAACATTGCTTGCTTAGTAATATAAAGTTGTGGAAGGATGAGACATACTGGATTTACAGGATGAGTTGCCACTGAAACGTTGTCGACAGAGTGTTCATGAAGAGGTACATCCAGTAACAATTGTGCAAGTTCACACAGCGCAAGTGCGGCCGGCAGATGTTGAAATGGAAGCAACAGTAAGTTTTTTTCTTTAAAGTTTCTCATGGAAGTTTGGAAATCTGCCAGAAATTCTGAAGCCGAATAATATTGCAGCAGTTAGTTTTTTCATGAAAAGGTATCCCATTTTTTTAGAATGCGTCTGAATTTTTTAAGTTTTAGGAGTGGTCTGGTTGGAAGTTTTTGAAACTAGTGTTAGAATGTTTTTAACATGATTATAGGTAGATCAAGGGAAAAAAAGCAAACCTGAGGCAACTTCGCAACGTACGATGACTCCGCAGGAAGGGCAGACATGGATTTGGTTAGCAGTTTTTGCTTGACATCTGATATTTTTTCATAATGTTTAGTTCAGCTGAAGTATCTTCAGAATGCAACTTTTGTATATCCTTTGGCTTTGAACAGCTTGAAGCTGATCTAGACTTTCCGCGTGCTTATTCAGTGTATCACTTTTACTTACTTTTATGTCCTAGACCTGGTGAGTTTAACTTGTAATTCTTTATAAGATTGCTGTCCTCGAACTCCGGAGGATGAATTTAAAGAAGAAAGCAAATATTCCTTTAACAGGTTTACAATACACTTCATTACAGTATGGGAGGGTACAGTCCGAGTATCGTGCAATCGTACTGTCAACCGTGCATCGCATTTCGTGGAGACTGCTACTGAATTATATATATTAATAAGTATCGTGATAATTGTTAAGTTTCGAAATCTGAATATACGGAAAGTCAGGTTATTAATGTTTAAATTGATTTCTTAATTGACATATTTCGTGTGTCATTTCATGCCTGTCACTTTATTCTCTTTTATTAGCTGCCTTATTAACTCTGCCAAAGTAGATACTTCTATGGTTTTTTTCTTGAATCAATATGTCTTTTCCTGGGAGGGAGCGGTTAGTAATAAGCTAAGTATTTTTCAAAGTAGGCTCAAGTAACAGAGTATAGTACGTGAACATTCTTTGTTTTTCGTTGGCTGGTCAAGAGGAAGTAATGATATGGGAATCTTTGTTTTAGGTAATGTCAAAGTGGTTTTGTATGTATCTCTTTGTAACCTCATGATTAAATATTTGCTGCCAACTGTCATCATTTTCATCCTATTAATAATTTTTAAGCTTTTTAAACCCCGATGCTATGTTCATTCAGTGATTGGTCTCGAACAACGTGCAAATGTTCTCGTTAAGCGACTCCGTTTCTTGTTTATTTTTTTTTACTGTGTGGAGTCGTGTTATTTGTTCAGTGTTTTAGTCGTATTGAATAAAATATGAATGGAAATGGTTTTCCGCTTGGTTGAATTACTGAATGGATAATCCTATGGTATCATTGGTGAGTGTTAAGGCGGTGGATTGTTTGGGGTAAATAATAGAGCTGTTGTGGCTTTTCGTTCTTGTTTCGTTTGCTTATTAAATTTGTGGTGCAGTTTGTTGTTGTATGTTGGTATGGTTGGTTTTGTGTGGTGTTGGTAGGTCAGGCAGGGAGCTGTGGTAGCAGGTCATGGTGGTTGTACTAGCAGCATATGATCGGTTGTTGTCACCAAAGAAGGTAAGGGTTTGATGTGAAGTGTTGCAAGTTGATTAACGTTGCAGACGTTACAGAGTTGTTGCGGTTGATTTGTGTTCAAGGAACACGGGGTATTCGGTGCTTAAATGCCAAGTTATGCGCAGTATTTTGATATTTTCTGGTGCTGCCATTGTATGTATTACGGAGATAATGTGGTGGAAAAATGCTGCATACAATTGCAGTTTTATTTTGAGAAAGAAGGTTTGAAGGGCAGAAAAAAATTTTTTTTTTTTTTTTTTTTTGAAATGAAAAGTGCCAAACAGCTGGACAGCACAAAATATATGTACACGTGTGCAAAAATGTATATAAATTGCCAGATACTTTCTTGAAGGTAAGTTTTTCAGAAAGTTCAGATCTCTGGCAGCAGCAAAATTTTGAAGAAAATTGTAGAATGGAGGACTTTTCCTGAGGGTAAGTTACAGAAAGTTTGGAGCAGAAAGGTTTTTTTTTGATTTTGTTGCATAAAACGCTTCAGTTAGTTTTGGCAAGTACACGTGGAAGCGAAATGGCTGCGTAGCTGAGTTGTTTGTGTACAGTAGGGTTTAATACTCAGCGAACGACAATCTGAAGTGAAGATTTCACGTGGTAAACCGCTTGGAAAAAATCTCTTACAATTTCAAATTGGAAGTTGTAGACTTACCCGGAATTCTTTTTGCTTCATTGTTGTCTTGGTTTGGCGGTTAACTATATGTGCATATGATTTTGTTAATTTATTTTCTTTTTTCTTTCTTCTGCGTTTTTTTCTTAGTATTTTATTTGTCTTTTTATTTCTGTCTATAGCTGGCGCATTTATTTGTGTTACTGTGAAATTAATCATCATCGTAATCGTCATCGTCATCGTCGTGATCATCATCGACATCATGTACTTTGATAATTCATGTATGAATAGGTAATGTTAAACTGACCAAGAATATACCTTTCCGCTCATTTAAATGACGATTTTACAAGCACATCAGTTTACTTATAAGTTATTGATGTTGCTGTCATTGTTATTGTTGTTGCGGTTATTGTTAAAAGTGTTGTTATTGTCGTTATTATTGTTACTTAATAGTATTGTTATTGTTGTTATTGTTGTTATATGAATAGCTAAAAATGTTGCTGAATCATGTTTTTCATTGTTTGCCTGATATCCAGGTTCTCTTTTACTATTGCAGTTTGGTTTCTTAGTTGGGAAAGGAAAGAGAGGATGGGAAGGGAAGCAGGAGGGAAAAAAATCAGCGTAAATGATGATTTTTAAGTTCGCAAATAAAATCATGCGGTTTCCGCAAGGAATTGTTGGCCTGATACTTTGTTCACATTTTATTTTTATGCATTTTGTGGCTGTCACTTTATAGGCGGTTTTTGGCAAAAAAAAGATACATTTTATCAACATTATTAGAAACGTATCCTGGTGGTAAGATTTGTCGTGTTGTGTTTTTTTTATTTAGTGAAAATGACTGTTTTTGTTCATGGCTGCGGTGCAGTGATCATAGTATAATCTGTTTGTTGAAACGTCTGAAATATGTCTGGTTCCTTTATTTTACAACCGTGCTTGTTGTTTTGCGTAAGTTAGTACGTTTCAGTGAGTCTCGCAAATTTTAGGTGGTTCTCAGCGGTCATGTCTTGGATATGGGACTGGTTCTCTGGTGTTCTCAATTATCTTGGTGAGTATTTGCTGTGTATTTTGTCGGGAAGGAAGGGGATTTAATAATTATGTCTGGAATACTTCGTATTAGTTTGTCTTCGTTTATTTTGCCTAGCTGCGTCATTATAATAGGGTTGGGCTGTTTTATCATTATTATGCGTTTCTTCGCTATCCATAGGTGGTTTGTTCGTAACTTTTTTGTTTTTATGTTTGTCAGTATAAACATTTAAATCAGGCTTAGAATCCATACTTAACGACATTGAAGAAATAAAATGCGTGCTTTTACCAGTTGGATTTTACAACTGTTTTGAAGACATTTTTTCTGACATAGCTACGTTAAGTCCTCCCAAGACCGTAACAATTTTCCAGAAGTTTGATATGAGGTTTTCTTAAATATATTTAGTCGTATGACCAGGTAGGCAGTGAGATTTACGCACTTTTCATATAGTAAGAATATTACGTTTTGTTCAATACTATGTTTCTTTTTTACTACCCTTAAAGGATAAATTTTAGGGTTGACCAAAAAGAACGGTAAACTGGTATTTCTTGGATTAGATAATGCAGGCAAAACAACACTGTTACACATGTTGAAAGATGATCGGATGGCACAGCATGTACCTACGTTACATCCAAGTAAGTTTCTATTTCAAAAACTTCAGTTCCTCCCCGAAAAATTTTTCAAACGGCAGTTGCCTTCATTGATCTTTGGTAAAAGTTTTAGTATCAGTGTATTCCAAGCCTTTGACACATTCGTCTTACTGAAATTGAAGATTTTATCGGATAGATAAAATTTTATTATGGCATGGCTTCTTTTCTAGTCTATGAAGTGTTATTTTTTTACTGCTAGAACTTATTCCCACCCTGCCTTAACTTATAAAATCATTTTCGTGCCTTTTTTTCGGGTCGTGAAGAGTAGTTCATGTGTTTTTATTAGATGGTTCAATGGCTATATTTTCTGCCTGTTTTGGTAGTGTAACAAAAAAGATCTACTTCTTCTAAACGTTAATTAGCTTTTCCTTTTTTTCCACATTCTATTAGTGGCTCATGGTTTTTTTCTCTCCACAAAATAGGGATCTTTTTTGGCATAAGTTTTAAGAAGTAGAGGGATTCAGGGGCTGCATGTTTAAATTTCTTATGGTTTTTTATCACCGTTCATCAGCCTAGAAGTCTAGCAAAAGTATAATTGATTTTATTATCTGCCCAATATGTGGAGTAAATTCCGTTAAATGTGTGTGACTGGTCTTTTAGTATTTTCTAAAGAGGAACATTTGCAGTGGGTGTTTATGAGTGGTGTTTCTTAATTTTTTGCAAACTTTCTATGAAACGCAACTTTATGCAAACTTAGTATGTTGGCTAGTTTGTTTAGTTTAATCAAACTTTTGGTATCAGATTATATCTTTTCCGTTGCAGCTTCTGAAGAACTATGCCTTGGAGGTATTCGTTTCACAACTTTCGACCTTGGTGGTCACGAACAAGGTTCTAATTTTAAAATTGCATTGAAAATTGTTTTGCGTTTTGGTGTCATTTTTTCACATTTTAAATATTTGTCAAACTTCCTGTTTTTAGATTTTTTTTGTTTTTATTACTTTGGAAAAATATTTTACAGCACGGCGTGTTTGGAAAGATTATTTTCCCGCGGTTGATGCCGTTGTATTTTTGGTTGATTGTGCCGATTTAGAGCGTATAAATGAAAGCAAACATGAGGTAACTGGGAAGAACTTTTTTTGAGTTTAAAGAATGTTTTATTAGCTGTGAAGGTAGCTTGAATCATTACGTGTGCAGAAATAATCGAACAGACTTGTTTGATTTCCAATTAAATATTGTTATTGTAGTTTTGCCTTCTAGTGCTCTTTTTTCAGCTCGAAAGTTTACTGGCAGATGAACAAGTTGCTGCTTGCCCTGTTCTTGTACTTGGAAACAAAATTGATAAAGCTAACGCGTTAGGTGAAGATCAATTAAAGTGGCATTTAGGAATTGCAAATATTTGCACTGGAAAGGTTATTAGCTGTTTAGTTCAAGATTTATAAAGCTTTGTTAAATATATTGGAGATAGGTGCTTGTACAGTTATTTCCGGTTTTTTGACTTACTCCTGTGGTACAATTTTTAGGGGCAGATATCACGTTCTGACCTTTCGTCGCGGCCATTGGAAGTTTTTATGTGCTCTGTGTTGAGGCGTCAAGGTTATGGAGAAGGTTTTAGATGGCTTTCGCAGTATCTGGATTGAATAATTTTGTTGTTTATTTATAGTCTGCTCACAACATTATGACCGCTCTGTACAAGTTTTATATTAAAATTTTATATTACTATACACTATTTCTAAATCTGCATCTGTAGTCGGAAGGTGTTGGTCTCTGGAATCTGGAGTGCGGATATGTAAATGATCAGTGGAAGCAGTTGTACCGGTATTATGAGTTTATGGCAACGTTAACTTTTCTTATTTGTAAAAGTACGATGAAAATCTCATCAGAAAATTTTTTGACGTTGCTTTTTTTAAGGAACATATTTTATTATGGAACACTGGTGATGTTAAAAGTCAAATTCGACGTTTTTTTTAATAACTTTAGGATTTACAAAAATGTACGTACATTTAAAGATTCAGATCCCTTTGGTTATAATAGAGGGTATTTCAGATATTTGGCTTTTGCGTTACGGTATTAAAAAGGATTTTTAAAAAATTCTTTTTATTAAGTTTTTTTCAAGTTTCGTATATTTATAAATGGTTTTTTATTTGCGCAACACCGTTTTACTTTTAAAAACTTTGTGTCCCTATTGATTTGTTTGTCGTTTTATGGTTCTTTCCCTTTAATAAAATTTTTCGTGTACTGACTGTGTCCCACTTAGCTGTGAGCAATGGCGGTAAGTTAGCTGGAGAAAAATAATCAGAAATGAGTTTTACCCAAGTATTTGGGGCTACTAGATGGGCAGAGTTGTTGGCGTAGTTTTAAAAAGGTAAACCTGGAATATTTTCATTTTTGGGACTAACTGTGTTGTTGTTGGCAGTGTACAAGAGTTTACACTGAGGTTCTCTGCAGCAGGCATTTTTTGTGGTGCACAGTTCTTGAGGTTCGATGTTTTCATACAAAAGCTTAAGTTACGGTAGGTGTGCGTTTACTTCTTATCTAGTTGATTCGGTAACAGGGATCTGATTGCTATAGCTGCTGAAGTGACTGAATGGAGGCTTCTGACGGGGCGTTTCGTGACAGTTTATCAAGGAAAAAGAGGACAGTAAAGTTTAGTAAGTAGTGAGGAGATTAATTAATTAATTTTTTATCGGACTTTGGTGTTGATTGTTACGAATTAGTGATATGATTTGTAGTTAACAGAGCAGTGGCTGTTGCTTTTTTTACTTATTTTGCTGCAAGTTTTTTTATGTTTACAGCGGGAGGCAAAGATAGTAATAGTGTGCGGGTTGCTTTTATATCAAGAATGGACAATAAGTTCAAGTAACTGTAGAAGTATAAAAGTGTAGTTATTTGTTGAAGAGGACAAAGGAAATGGAACGGGACATCAGGTTTCAGAAAGGTAAAAAAGTTTGTCGGGAGTAAATAAAAAAATGGTAAAAATTTATTGTGATTTTAATTA